GTTTTAAGTAATACATCCTTTAGGTTTTGTCAGGAACAGAATGCAGGATTTTTTTTATATGTGTCATTTTATTGTGTTGTTGTTGTTTATGTTCTGTTTAAGTCCCCTGACTCTACTGCATTATTTTCTGTGCTTCATGATTTGGGGATTGATCAGCTGCTCAATCAGAAATACTGAAAACAGGTTGGCATCATTAGGTCTGCTTCACACTCAGGGACTGAACACTGTTAATACTGGGGAGGTTCAATGAGATAGTTTTGCAACAAGTTAGATTCTGTCAAATGTACACTTATCTGGTTGTACTTGTGCCCCCATATGAGTTGTAATGTCAGGAATAAATAAAGAAAATAATGCTTTGTTTATTAATTTGCTTGATTTGATGTATTCTATCTATTTAGTTCCCCCTAAACTTTCCTGGGCAGGTGGTAGGTTCCACTCAGGTGAAGCTGACAAGATAAACTGCCATTCACTCAGTCGTCACTAGTAGAGGAGAGGAGCTGATAAGTTACTGTGAAGCTGCTTTTTTGTGCATCAACACAAGTTATTCTTGTTTGTTTTTTCCATTCAAAAATCTTTTGTGATTGATGCCATTTCTGTCTTCAATTTTAAGTTTTCCATATGAAATCATCTGCCCTTCACACTCAGTGGCAGTGTCCCAAGGAATTAAAACAGACATAAAACATACAACATAACATTAAATAGCAGCATCTAACTGTAAAACCTCAAAGAACATATTCATATCAGTGCACATAAATACACACAAAGATAAATAGGTCAGGTTTAATTGCACAATATATTCTAAACAAGCTCTGACCTGACCTCTTAAAGGCCTGTTTTTGTCAGATTAGAAAAAAAACCTGAAGTTCCTTCCTTCAATTTTCTCTCCTAGATCTACGTTATAAGAATATGAACAACAGGGTGTGGTGATGTTTAACTTCTCAAACGCTCTACAGTTGCTGATAAAGAGTTATACAGTCCGCTGCTGCACTTGCAGTAAAACACAATGTTCAACTAAACACCTAAAATGCGAGGAGACATCTTATGTGAATCTTCTTGTCTTCAAGCAAACAGCAACCACATGCAAACAGCACAGCTTCACTCAGCACACAGCAGCCTTCAACTCGAATCACCTCAGACAGAGAACATAACCAGGTCGGACAACAAATTGCTCAGCTGATTTGGTCTTGGAGGTTGTGGGTAATCCGGTGTGATTTGAGGCTCTTGACTGCACATCTTTGAACAACTTAATACCCATCCGGCTGAATTGAACTTAATAGGAAACATGCTGGTTACAAATCCACGCAGATGAGTGTGTGTGCTGCTGCTGTAGTAAAGGAAAGTCAGGCGAAATGAGATGCCATGAACCTGGTGCTGAAAGATCAAGTGAACATGTGCCAATGACCAGCACGTATGTTCAGAGGGCGACTTTAAACC